GGGCACGAAACGATTGTTTTTTGAAATAAAGATCATTCAGTCACACAAGGTTACGACACTTAATCCCATGCCCTCGTAGCTAATTGTATTGCGGAAGTCTACAACTGTTTCGCCATACTTTGTAGGATCGGACATTGCAAGCGAGCCCTCGGTACTTGGTCCTGCGTGACCCGGGGAAAGGAATGCACTTGCCCGACAATTCTGGTGGAGTCTATTTGGAACTGGTTTCATCTCCAATTACGGGGTCTATGAGGATTGAGAGGGGGAGGGAGGGGGTGCGCGGGGGGGCTGCATGGGTGAGTCCGTGGGGGGGCGGAAGTCATTACGGTCAACCTGATTTGGCTGGGCATGTCGTTGCGGCTTGGTGCGCCAGAATTTTTAGCCAAAGTACGTTTCTTTTGCGAGGAGCGATTTGTCCGGTTACACGGGGGGGTGCGGTTGCTTCTATCCGATCTACCTGTTCCACACATAGTGCTTCCCATATCATCTCCTTTTTTTCCTGGTCAGAGTTAATGCTATGTTTCTATGCTGTTTGCAAGTGGATCAGTCTTACTTCCCCTCCGTTTTACGTACCGCACCTCGTACTCAACACTGGAATATTCTCTTGCTCCTTGCGAATATCTAAACGAAACCTGTATCAGCACCCTCATGTTGTTCAGATTGCGGTATAAACATACTATACATGTTCCCTGAGGCTTAGAGGCAAGGGGGAGTTGGGGGGGGCACGCTCTCCCTAACACCGCCGTTTCAATCACCAAATCGGGGTGGTGGGGGGGTGTGAGCGGTAGTTAGTCTAACCGAGCGCCTCCCCCATAAACATAGACCAAACATGATATAAAGTGGGGCGGGGGGGGGGGGGTGTTTGCACAATAGGGGTATACGTGTGAGAGCCCTCCCCCAAGCGCGTGCACCACCCTCTACAGTCCACAGCCATCCCGTCCTCCTCTACTCTCTGACACTGTAGTCCGAGGCAGAGCACCCAACCTCGTCCGAAGATAGTCTCAAGCGCTCGCAAAAGCGTAAACATCTGTCCAACATCATCCACAAACTCCCACATATAACCCAAAACCCCCCCCCCACACACAATTCACTATAGAGCTATACACAAGTCGATGGCTTCACCGTAAAAGGGGAGGGGGGGGGGTGGGGGGGGGGGGGGGGGGGGGGGGGGGGGGGGGGGGGGGGGGAGGGGGGGGGGGGGGGGGGGCGGGGGGGGGGTAACACATTCTTATTAACAACAACTTCCCATGATCAGACGCGCCGTCGTATATACCATTACAGCATCCAACTTCCCCCCCCCAATACTAAATGTCCATCCCTGAACCCTCCCAGACGGCAAGGCATTCATAAACCTTACAATGTGTGGCAAGACAAATGTTTTATCTTGCGAGGCGGCAAACCACCCCGAAAATAGGGGGGGGGGGGGGGGGGCGGGGGTGTAAAACAACAAGACACCTCCCTTAAACAACCCCAACACCACCCACCACGTGGAGTCAGCAACCGCACCATCCTGAACCGTAGCCTACTAATGTAACCCCACAATGCCCTCCCCCGCCCCCGCCCCAGCACCCATCCAAATTGCCCCCCTCTCCATATATCATCATCTTTCCTCCGCCCCCCCACTGCCCGCATGCCCCACCTAGTCACAATTAATCCTTTACCCCCCCAATCGGTCACTTAACAAAAACCCCATTGGTACCGGCGGTACCTCCCGCGGCTGTACGCAATACTTAAGGGGAGATGGCAAACGAGTCGCTGTGAGAGAACCCGCTCTTGTTATTAATGTTGACTGTTTCTGGCGAACAGTTGAGCCGAAACACCCGACTGCCCGAAAACCAGCGCCTGTTCCAAGTCGGATAATTATAGAACACAGCTGACAACCCACACATTCCACCACCCCACGACAACCCTACATTCCAAAATCTCGCCCGCACGTGTTGTTCGACTCACATCAGTCTGCATAAAGATCCACCCCCCACCACACGCCCCCATCCCAGAGCACTAACTCACACTACAAGGTAAATTTTCAGAGCACCGTATATTGACGGACGCACTCAGTTAAGACGTCCCATCATGTCTGCAACTACATCGGACGTGTTTCACACTCGATACTACGGAAAAGAAAACTATCAGGCGCGAACAGATTTAATCGAACAATCCAATGAGCTGGCGGCTCCATCAGCTTTATTTAGTGTGTGTACGTGTTATCACGATGGGGGGGGGGGGGGGGGGGGGGGGGGGGGGGGGGGGGGGGGGGGGGGGGGGGGGGGGGGGGGGGGGGGGGGGGGGGGGGGGGGGGGGGGGGGGGGGGGGGGGGGGGGGGGATACTAGGACCATCTGTGGGTCCTGGGCCGAGGGCGAGCTCTTCACTTCTGGAATTTGTGTCTAATATGTAGTCTTGATGAGTAGGCAGAGTGTTCAGCGTTACTGCGCTCATCAGCGTCCGTCGGGGGGGGGGGGGGGGGGGGGGGGGGGGGGGGGGGGGGGGGGGGGGGGGGGGGGGCTTACTTTCGGGGGGGGGGGGCGGGGGGAATAAAATTCTCCATGTGATACTTCAGTGGCAGGACCCCGGTTATTCCTTCCCTCATCATTTTTATTCATGTCTTCGTCACTTAATTTTTTGTAAAGTCTAGGTGTCATTCGCCCACACAACAATTCTCCTTGCGCCCCACCTACTGAGTCCAAGTATTAGCAGATACGATTGGTTATACGGAAACTAGAAGGAATTTCGCTTGCTGAATACGCTACTTTTTTGACACTCCCAAGTCTATGTTGGTGCGTGTGACTGTTCGCCGAACGATGCATAGTTACCTGCACGTTTGTGCAGCACGTCGAACGATTCAATCCGAAGACCCCTGGGCAGTGGGGGGGAGCTGGGGGGGGGGGGCGGGGGGCATTAGGGAGCGATTGAGTACGTGGGGGGGGGGGGGGGGGGGGGACGTGGTAATGCTAATTCTACCCACCGCAAGACGCGCGAACTGCACGCGAACACACCTCACGCAGATCCTAGTGTGATGTGTACGGCGTGCGGGGAGAAGCGCCGTGCCATTGGAACTCACATAAAATCTCACAGAAGATGGGCACAGGGGCCCTGCATGCGCGCGGCCATCCCTGTCTCTCTGTCTCTTCCCGAGGTAGTCTGAGGTTAAAAAACTAAACCGCACAAAAGCCACCCCGAGCCACACACCGCTGAACCGCTTGAGGGGGGGGGGGGGGGGGGGGGGGGGGGGGGGGGGGGGGGGGGGGGTCCCCAACGGTGTTATGTCAGACCCCTTTAGTTCGGAGCCTTTTTACTAAGATCTCAGGAGCGGGCGGGGGGGAGGGAAGCCCGCCGCATTACAATGCACCGAGAATCGCATCCATCCCCCATTATCCAGAAAGAACAGGGAGCGCAGTGTGCAGGGAGTAGGCTTTCGGTGCCCGGGGGGCTGGTATCGAGCCAGGCTATCTCTATATCAAGTGATAAGGCAATGTTGGGTTAACCCATTATCCGTACTCCTGTATTTGTCAGTGTTCGAACAGAGAGCACACCATTTCGTGTTAATGACCGAAGGATCATGCCGCGAAGCGGCACTGCCGGATCACCTTATATGCAGCGGTGTCACTGTCCTTTTCGTGTTTTAATTGCACGCTGTTGGGTGCTCTTGCATACTGCGATATGTGACGGATGACAACCCTTAACGGTGTTCCAAACCACCCTATCTGCTCAGCTGCGGACAGTGACTGTGGCAAGATTTAAAATAGCGCGATGTAACTAAGAGCACATCCGGCTGTTTGCAAGTGCCTGTGTTTTCAAGAAGCATGCCCCTTAGTTCAGTCTACTTTAACGGTAATTGATCTGCGTTCGAGTGCGCTGACGACCATTTATGGCGGAATTGTAAATCCAAACGGCTAGTCATTTGCATTTGGCCTTGGGACACAGGCCATTACATTTCTGATTTTGCGCGGTCCAGAAACAGCATATGAATTATTCACACTGGCATCTCGAAAGAAACAAGCATATAAACTACAATAATTGATCGGTTGAATGAAACGTCATGTGGCACCTTGAGCATCGTTGATTGAGCGGTGGTGGAAACCGTCTAAATTCCCATATCCGTAGTAGTTACGAGATGGAAGAACTTGCCTGTATACTGTGTAGGGTGGTATACGTGATACATCAACTTGATATCTTTGATGAACCGCAGCAAAAACTTCGCATTATAGAGAGCGTCACATTCCTCGACCCACATTCTCTAAAGGATAATGACACCATACGCAATCGTGTGGAACTACTTCCGCATTTCCCTCTTGATACCCTCAGTGTGATAACGTAGATTGTGATCGAGAATGCCATTCCTTTCGATCACTCGCTTCCTGTTATGGAATACAATGAAATATTAATTCACTATCTAGGGCTGTGGGTTGGGACGCACCCTCTTTCAGCACCGGCTTCGGTCTTAAAACAAATTGCATCGTGGAACAGCGTCTTACTTTCCATTTACGTTCCACCGTCGGTTATTAGCAGAGGGAAATATAGTAGCACCGTGGTCACCATCCAAGGGGAGTGGATTCTGAACAGCGGACGGTATATCCACAACAAATCAAAGTTATCTCACAGGCAGCTCAGCAAACGCGTGCAAAATCATGAGCTTCACATCAGTTGCGGTGCTTTCCCACGAAAGGATGGACGGACTGGAATTGTCCACCCTATTTGTCACTTAACTCACCCACGTCGCTTTTGGTAATTGTTTTTGAGCTTCGCTTCCTCTTATGAACGGCTAGCGAGAGTATCAAACGTAGTCGATCCACGTTCCTGCGATATAACGCCATGAAGCATGTCCTGCATAGTTCGCAGTCGGTAATGGAGTCCGAAAGCATTTAAAGCTTTATAGTGAAACCGGTTAAGCCTTTCAGCCACGAAGCGAGGTTTCGAACCTTGAGTTTGCGAGTACAAATATGGGATACAACCCTCCTGACCATTTTACCAAGTGAATCAACCCAGCCACTCAGTCATTGATAACTGCATGAAGTGGTTATCTCTGGAACAAACCTTTGGGAGCAAAGAACTGGATGGTTAATTTCAGCAAGATGACTGTATGCTAATATGAAGGTTGCTACACTTGTATCAAGTGGGTCAGCAACCCCAGCGTTCGGTGGGGGACGGGAAAATAAATTGCAAAAATGGCGCGCCGAACTGAGACTAGATGGTTAGGTGGGTCATCATTGGGTGAAGTTGGGCTAACTCAAGGAGTATGATAACAGAATAATAAATCTCAGCAGTTCGTTGGCGCTGACGGAGTGGACCGCGGGCATACTCCGGTGGGAGGGTGAGGGAGCATTCAAATGTGGGCCATTTGGAAGGATGTGGATGCCGCTTTTGTCGCAATGCCGAATTGGCATCATCATCATCATACAGGAGAAAGGCTGCGATCATCCCCATCAGAAGACAAGGCTTCAGCAGGAACCAAGTTGAACCTGTAGATAATGGGAGAATAGAGCGAAAAAGAGGCAAGTCAGATAATACAAACTGGACAAGTGATGCGCGCTATGGTTGTTGGTCAAAGACATGACCACATGATGTCACGATGCAGAAGCACACGGAGCATACACACACGCATGGAACAGACATGTTTTTTAATGGATGCATGAAATCATTGGTCCAGTGGTCTCTGACGTGTCACCAATCTGGTGCACAGCTGTGGTGTTTTTTATTACTAAGGTAGCCCTCACTGTTCAGGTCATTGTCGAATCTCTCCTCTGGAACGGATTGTTTAGGTGAAAAGGGGATAATTTTGAAAACGTTATAATCTGCGTGTATATTGTTCAGACTGGACGACAGCTGAGTGAAGTGTTAGAGATCCATTCACTGACGGACACTGTGCTACCGAAAATCAAATTGCGATGGAACAACCAGGTAAGCACCGAAAGCAAACTTTGGATGGTTAAAGCAAGTTTGTCCAAATAGACCTACCAGTGAGTCAAAGGGGGCGCAGACTCCAAGCTGCACAGATCGATATACACTGATCCCATGAAGTGGGTTCGACCACTGAGCGTGAACCGTCCCACATGGTTTTTCACCTCGATCCGCAGACCGTGGGTAGACAACTTGCTCGCTTCCAAAGGAAATCTGAAGCTGTCGGTTATAAAAACGATAGATAAAACTGAAAGGAAACACGCTGTGGTTGACACGTAACGGGTAAATCGATAACATTGATAAAAATAACTTAGTGGTCTATACGGAAGCCGTTAAACAAGGAATGGGTTTGTGCTCTACTGAGGACACAAGTTACCCGTATTTACGTGCGCTTCACGCGGCTTTTTTCATTGTTTGGACAATATGTTAGACTACTCGGGCTGAAACTTCGAAGGACTCACGACTGGAAACACACTGCTATTCCTTACTTGGGGTTCAAAACACTTTGCAACAGGACGGTTTGATGAGTCAGGATTCAAGATGCAGTTGTGTCGACTCATTAATGGGGTCTGATGGAACGATATTCAGCAAGTCTTGATGGCCGGATTAATACATAGCATAGACAGAATGGATAGGACACCGATGCGTGATTTGAAACTATGGCGTGTATCAGGGGCTGTGATCGTGAGGAACAGTGAACAAAGTGATGAAAACTTCACAAAACCTTTCTGATATCTATGGGTCTTCCATCGGGCGGTACAGGTAAGGTAGCGACCCCACTGTCCTCGGTCGAAACTTCCGTTACTCGGTCAAAAAACGATCGTAACCTGCTGGTGGCGGCGTGCTTCCAGCTTCCGGATCGGGTGACCTATCAGTGTCCGTAGCCTGCATGCAACTGTTGTCAAGATACAACGGAGCGTCGGTACTAGGTTCCGACGTACTACTGATAATTTCAGTGCGACATCTTATCAACCATTAGTGAACTGCCGTAGAAACTAGATCGAAGTGGTGAATGATACAGCGGTAAGGCAGCCGTAACTTATAACTGAGTTTGGCGTTTAGCCTGGGTGCTTGCTTGTAACACGAAATCCACTAATCGTGACAAGGGCCAATAGCTGTGAGTGGAAACTAACATGGATGTCAAGTGATCGGATGCCACCTATCGCTGTACCACATTTGGTTCAAATCCAACATATTCGGGGGAAAATATACCCAGCATTATGAAACACCGCCCGTGTTTCTGCAGGAAACTGACGTCCGGAGCATTTACATGGTGACAAATCGCTGGTTTACGCATATTGTTCCGGTCGCCTCTTGCGTGCTGTCACACTAAGAGACAAGTCGGCAAAACTCACGATATTGGGATAGGGATATTACGTGCATGCGTCTGGAGCACAGTGAGACTGAGGGTCAAGAAGCGTGATGCATTGGTGATTGCAGTCGGCGTGCACATCTGCTCCCTTGAGAGGAGAACGCTCGCAGTAGCTGACGTTTTGTCCGTTGGGCTGTAGAATCAGCTCTATAGAGAGCTATGTCGAACGCGACATGAAGTCGAACACATTCGACCCAAGCACACACGAAGAGAAGTGGACAGTTACGAAACACCGGCAAACATCATCACACTGGCAATATCAGCCACTAACTAGCCAAAGAAAATGAAGTCACAGGGGTGGATAATCTGGCGATCAGTTTAACTCGATCAGCCGTTGTAAGAGAGTTAGAACAGTGTAACTTTCACGGAAGCCTCCCAATATCGAACTTGCGTAGTTGTGATAATAAAGTGGTGAAGGACTGACAGTTGTCGATAGAGTAGGAAAAGCTGTGTGATGCTTCACTCACTTTTCTTCGTATACAGGATTGAGGCAGTTCTTCACTGGGTGTGTTCTCTTTGTGATCTTGGTGGTCCGACGCCGATCGACCAAAGTGACTTTCACGTAAGGGTCAGCGAGACCATCTTTGTCCACTCCACGAAGTTGGCTAAACAAATGGTCAAGTAACATTAGTCGAGTATCAGAAGAAGCAACGAAGTAATTTTAAGCATTGGCCATTTGTCTAGTTTCAATGGGACTGAGGCCTTTGAGATAAGTCTCTTCAGGAAAACGAAATGGGATTCGAATAATATAACATAATGTGATCATTTTTCAGCACAAACATCCATCTCACCAGGCTTTGTGCACGGTTACAGAAAGCTCCCCTGACGCAACAGAATACTCCATAGTTAGCTTCAGTCGTCCCAGCGAAGCATCTGTGAGTGTGGTCACCGATCCGTCTTCTAATGGCGTTGCCTCTTGTGAATTAGCCACCAGTGTAGTGGTTTCAGCTACATTTTCACTGACTCTTTCATCATCTAACGCAGCCTAGACGAGTGATATAATTTGAAGAGATGATGATGAAATATATATGAACAAAAATATGATGAGTGATTGAATGTGCTACGAGGGCATTAGCATTGTGTCCACCAATAAGGCACATATATGGACCTCCAAACACTAACCAGTCGACAATGATGTCATTCTGGGGGCGTTTATTCGGGATCTTCTCCGTAGAGTGCAAGTATAAGTGTATTCGCTACTAACAATCCAAGAGATTGACCACCAGGAGTCCGATATCCCTTGGTTACCAAAAAATTCGGAAGGTTCCAAATGGACCACAGTAAGGCCGTGATTAGCAAGTGCTTCTCAACCATCGGTCTTGGCGCAAACTGAGTTTCAGCTTTTCAGGCAACACGGTGAGTCCTCATATCAACCACTGATGTTTAGTTGGAGTAATAACCGTGACCTTAAAAAGGGATTGGAATTTGTTTATTTTTAGAGATCAACAGCGCTACACTTATGGATGGTCGATCGCTATATCTCGAAAACACCCTTGTTGCGCGGTAGAGTATAACATGCAGCCAAAGCACCCAGTCCGCGTGTTTCGTCTTGGGACACAATCCCTGTATACCTCCATGACCAGACGTTTAAAAAGCTCTGTATTCCAGTCAGCGATGACTAAGTGAACAGCCTCTTGGAGGCTAAACGTTTATAAATTGATGAGCCACGCACTTTAGATTTAATTACCTGTTCCTTAGGTGTTATTTTCGTTAAACAACTAGTGGAGATCTCGGTTTTGACTCATTAAACGGACTGACCAAAGGGGACGAACTGTTATACATCCATCCGGTTGGGTAGCTGTGATCAAGTGACTCTGACAGCTGTTTTTCTGCGGACCTTGAAATCAGGCTGTACTATAGGAGTGCTTCACGCTTGGCCCATTAGGTTTGTGGTCACCTTTGATATTCACATTAAACAACCTGAGCAGGTTAAAGTGGATAAATTTTTGATAGAATTCATTTTATGTTAATACACAATGACTGCGAATAGACCTCCACATTTGTTGCCGCATTTGAGGCGTCAAGCAATCCGCTATTATTTGGGTAGGAGTTTGAGGGAATCTCCCAGAGGATAGACCATATTATTAGTTGAATTGATAAAACGTCAATTTTAACGCACTGTAAATGCAACTCGCACTCAAATATCCCCTAAAAAGATGCTGACGTCTCGAAATGCAACAATTATTAACGGAATCGTCTGGTTGCACTTGGTATCATGATGGTAGATGTAGATGGTAGACGCTGATTCGCCCTCAATTTACGGTGTATTTTTGGCGATACCATGTGCCACTACCCGCAAACTCCAAAGGCACACTCAAAACCATGGGCGCGCGAAATAAGCACGAAATATAAGTACAAGGAATATGATCATCCCTACATAGGCGTGTCTCGCATTGCACGAGAATAAAGCATTTATTTATTTATTTAAGTACAAGCACGAAATTTAAGTACACTGTCAATCGCTGTTTTCGCATTCCAAACTACAACAACCATTTGAAATCAAAACGATAAAGAATTAACGCAGTAAGACGCATTCTAGCACCGGGAAATTAGGTGGCTGCGGTGAGGTTGAATAGCTAAACGAAACAGCACGCTTGAATGCCGGGAAGGTGTAACTCTTCCTGACAAACATGGTTTGGTATAAGTAGAAATTTACTACATCTAGGCCCAGTCAGATGTCTATCACGCGCCCGGAAAAGCACTGTACGGCCGTTTCCTCCTTACGAGAATCGTTAGCAATGCGTGTTCCGTTTGGTTGCGCGGGGCTAAAACCCGAAACTTACCAGTTTATCGTGAAGATGACTGGGCTATGGTGGTCGGCAACGATCGACATGACCAAATTACTAGATGTTATATAGCGCCGCTCAGTGAGAGTGCTACCCTATCTTCTGCATGACACAAACGTACATGTCAGTGAATAGTGGTGAAAGTCTACTTAGACTATTCAAATCCCCTGCCAATCCACTGTAAACACGGTTTGTTTGGCGATAAACCAAAGCTCCACGGAAGCGGCACTTTCGACGGTTGCAGTAGTGGAAGTACTCGACGAGTCACATCGTGCTTAGTAAGAGCGTGACAGCTAATTCGTGAGATGGCTTTACTCTCGAGACCTAAGTGAGCAGCGAGATGTTTTATTTTATGCTCTACCAAGACGAAACTTGGTTAAAACGACAATTTTCTACTGCTCTATTAGTCTGAGTAGAGTCATCTGAACGAATGGAGTGTAAGCTAGTTTCGATGCCGCGAGTAATCACGACCTATCTCGTTTCGGATTTATCACCAGTGTTGCACATGGACATTAACAATACGGGGGTTACTCTCCCAAACAATATCGCTATTAAAAAATTCGTAGTTGGGATAGATTTGTCAAAGATCAACTGCATCCACAGCGCTTTCAACTTCTTCATTAAAGAAATCACGGTTCTCCATTAACCTCTCAAGATTCTCCTTACCGCTGTCAATTTGCATCCAACGAGCGCGAACGCCTCTGAATGAGCACTGTTCTTTGAGTGACCAACCCCAAATCAGTCGAGTACACATAATGGAATCCTATTGGCTGATATGGAATAGTTTATTCAGCGAAAATTGCGCGATTAAGGGCCCTCTCGTCCGTCGGATGAAATTTGATAGCAATAAGGTTCGTCTGTGTAGGAACATTATTTCCTTAAGGAGGAATTTGAATGCGCTATGGATGCAGTTGCCTGAGAAATGGTATAACCAGCATTAGCATAAAACTGTTCTTAATCGCGAATGGCGCATGAAACCACCTAGTTTGTGTTCGAGCACCGTGCCTTCTCCATACGCGACCGCAGTAACGCGTGGGACAAGTTAAGTGCTAAAATAGTTTGTGCGTTGTAAAATTCGGAATTTGTTCACAAATAAATTCCAGGGCTTGATGGATAAGATAGTGGATCAAGCTCATCCGCTGAAGATGCTTTAAGAAGACAAACACAAATAACAATGGAAGAAAATGATGCTATACACATGCGGAAGTTCGTAGCGTGGAACAGCCTTGAGATACCCAGTAACCAAAAAGAGAGATCGCCCTATCTACATATCGGTGACAAGTGGTCAAGAAACGATTTGGGTCCTTTTATGTGAATAGCTAACAGAAAATAAACCATAGATTCACCTGTGGGATTGAATTGCGGTGTCGGACAATCATTTCGGGATTATTTGTCGATACTGGGTTGTCAATAGCAGTGTTCTCAACGTTTGGGGCATCATTATCCGGGGTGGGGCTAAATATTGGTGCGTCTGCGGAGGAAGCGAGTTTAATAGTTTCCTTCTTCGGAACTGGCACGATGGCCTAAAAATGAAATGAAAAGTGAACAGGAAGCGGTTTCATAACAGTTTTAACCGGAGGACAAGTCGAGAATACAATGGATCAAATTGCTGATTATAAAGAGGCCGTCTAAGCATCGTTGTTCAGCAATAAACACGAACCAAATACTAAGAAGATACTAATCCAAACAAGTAAAACTTTTGTAATGGATGTTACACAGAGCCTTGTGGTTACTGTTTACCGGATTTATCAACACGCTCATTTTCGCTATCTTATTACCTCTTGTTTTAATTAAATAGCGACATTTTAAAAAATCTGTGCGTCATCACGAACATGTGTTATGTGACACGGACACGATCTAAAAGTCACGATGGCGGCGGGCGGAAAACAGGCGTTTATTCAGTATAGGGTAGCCTATTTAAAAGAAATAAACACTGTTAATCTTCGAGCCTTCTCAGTGGGTCTTCTGTTTTTCGGTTCACCTCATTGGTCGCGTTCCCCTTTTATTTCATTGGGTTATGCTATTCCTCTTCGGTCGCTGTCTTCCTGTCTCGCGCAATGATCACATCTTTCGTGCTTGGCATCTGACTGGCCGTATTTCTTTGGACCGCTCATATTTGGCTTTGCACTCTGAAACTTGCCGTTAATAGCGATTCTCGAGTTGCCAGTGCGCCCTCTATGTTCTATTGTCCAATCCGGTTTGTCGGTTTCTGGATACGTGTGCCACTCGTGATTCGCTGTCCAGCCATCGCTGTGTCTCCCGGTGGGTTCACGCGTTCTCTCGATCGAACTGATCTGCTGACTCCGGTAACCTGCGCTTAGGTGGTAAGGTCGAGCATACTGAACCGGTTTCCTAAACCCCGTTACAACATGAACCTGCCATTGTTCCTGCTCACTCCATACGGAACAAAAGCAAAAGAATCAAAGCAAAACGAAGTAGTTCCACAAGAAAGCACTGCGCAGGATGAAGGGTTGCACTTCGAAGGAGAAAACCTAGCCGTAGGAGTATACCTATTTTGATCAGTGCCAACATCTGTTCACTTGTAAATTAAAGAGCTTAAAAGTATAAGTTGTCGCGAATACTCCCGACCTAGAGTCATTATGCTATAAGAAACTTGGCTGCACGATGACATATACGATACCTTTGTGGCACTTGACGGATTTCCCGTGCATCGCGTTGACTGCCTAGGTACACAGAGGCACTATGGCGGTGACGTGATCACATATATAAATTCTTTATAATACACATCGACAAAATTAGTTTTCTCCATTATGCGCTGTTTTAATTGTGGAATGCTGGCCTCGATACTTGAGCGGCTATCGTTCGATTCTATTAGCCAAATTTACATTTCTCCCAGCTGTGCTGTAGCTGAAAACTCTTATGACGATTTTACAACTATCGTCATTGAACATCTAAATTTTCCTTTGTTTTTGTCCGTGACTTCAATCGGTTCGACAATAGTTTCATTACAAACCTTGGGCTGAAGAACATCTTGCACTCTGCAAGCAGGTTACAAGCAACCCTAGACTTAGTGTTTGTCAACAAGTCAAAAAGTTTTCTGTTTGTAACAACGCACCCTGGAAGCTCAGGTCATGCCACTACAAAGTTATCTCCCATAATCTATGGCAAAACGAGTTACAAAGTTATGATTCGCTGCATACATCGCAAATTAACGCAAAGACATTGTATTCACTACAACATCGAGCTTCTAAGGCAAACTGTTGCCTCGGCAGGCTTCAATCTGCTTTACAACTCTGATGTATCGAAGTACTGTGATCAGACAACCGGCCATTTAAACTTCGCTATTCGTTATTCTTTGGAAACCATTTTCATCCGCGCAGATAGGTTTTTATCTCAGTGCCTTAAAAGACTGCGAAAACTCAAACAGAAAGCTTCCGAGCACAAGACACCGCTTCAGTAAAGTCCTTGTCGACTGATACAAAAAAGAAATGTGTAGCCTTAACAATGTTTAGGTCCAAACTATACTTAGAATGATTGCCGAGAAATATAAAAATGATGAAAAACCTGAGTGGAGTCGTCCGCAGTGCCACACAGACTGCGCTCGATGTGGAGGAATTAGACCGCAATCTTTGGGCTCAGATAAATGATCCAGCATTACACTTACCATTTTTACCGTTATAACTCTCCCCACAACCTTCACCACCCATAGATAGCGCAACAGTTCAAAAGGAATTAATACGGATACAGTCGTGCCCGGTCCAAGTCAAGCCAAGAAAATGCCTTATGCACCCAGTACGGATGAATATTCAGTCCGGACGGACTATCTTCTATAGTCCTCAAGGAATGTGCTAATGTCTTAGCACAGTCTTTTTCTGAACTGTACACCATGTGCTCACATCAATACAAGAAAGCCAACTGCTGGCGAAGCGCCCGCATCACATCTATACCAAAAAGGGAACCTGTAAGTATTGGTCCATTGCTTGTATGTCGGTGGCTCTGAAGACATTTGAAAGAATTATTCCCGAAAAATTGCTTGTCCAAGCCCACTCAAGTGATCATTTTCAGTTCGCCTATCGCAGTTCAAGGTCTACTTTGGATGCATTAGCCTGTCTTGTGCACTCCGTGCCTTCATCACTCGATAGTAAAACCAAACCCAAGGATTTGCTTCCTAGATTACAGCAATGCTTTCGGTTGTGTAAAACCTGAGCTGCTCGTTTCCGGAGTTCAACTTTCGTTAGTACTCTTTTTTACAGATTACTTTATTATTCATACACAGTTTACCAAGATTGGGGAAAAAGTTCCTCTTTACTCATCACAAATCCCAGGTGTTCTTCAGGGCGCTATTTTGTCCCCATTCCTATTTTCCACCTACATTGACTCCATTCCCGCTCCAGGAAGCAACGCTTCTGGGACAACCTCCAGCCTACTCCAAAACCCGCTGTTTTTCACCCAACGCATCAAATCGTAAAGATGTTCTTTTATCTCTTTCCAAGGAAATTCCTTATCAGCAACTCTCACACACGCCCCGAATCTTAGTACTGACAGTATCAGTCTGAACTCCTGTACATTAGTGAAATATCTGCTAGTTACACTAAGTCGGGATCTCACGTGAACGAAACATTCACTAAAGTCATCAGACTAGGTCTTCATCCGCGCCTCGTTATCTGATCTTACGATTTGTCACCGCTTGCATAATACCGCACCGGACGTATTGCTCACCTGTTATATTTCCTGAACTCTTAAACGGGCAATTCAGAGTGATCAAAAGGTCACCGAAGCACCTTGCTCAATGTAGCGGAATTTCAATGTTAGGGTTTACTGACATCATTGTGTTTAATCACGTACGCTCCCGCGAAAAGATGGCGTCAAAAATACTATCTGACGCCAGTCACCCTCTCCATCGCGCATTGTCGGAATGTATTTCGACTTCTTCGACCAACGTCATTTATGCCCGCACACGGGCTTACGGTACGTCAATTGTTCCCTATTTGTTATGTTTTCTGAGGGATCAAGATGTGGGCAAACAAGAACTTATTGCCAAACTGAATCGGTGTTATCTACTCTGCAATTTTTGCAAATTGCTGCCGCACCATATTCATTTTTATAATTTTTTAAAATCGTATGTGTGTTGTAGCTGAATATTCACTCTTCATAAGTGCATAAAGCGCGTTTTTGACTTGACTTGAGTGGGAGCTGGAATGCTGCTTCGGCGCATCCGTAGCGTGTTCTGATTATGACATACGATTTCTATTGGGAACTCGGTCATTCCGATTAGCTGGAGCGCATCCGGAATGGAGAGGTTTCGGAGTTGCTCGCTGGTAACACTGCGCTCCATGACCGATTTCGACCTTGTTTGGACCCTTCAGGCAGAGATAGCCGGAGCTAATGATTGAACTCGGGACGTGGTGGCTGACGCCTTGAACACTCGGCCACTGAGGTCCACGAGCAATACTTGGCACAGCGATTAGGAATTCAGTGTTGGGTTTTGCAGTACCTCCCGTGTGTTCCTGGTTCCTATCCCATCTCCCATCTGAGTCAAAAATAAGGACGAAACCGCTCATGTGACGCAGTGTTTGAAGTGAGGAACTCCGAAATCCCCACTTAGGAGGGACCTCCTTTAACTGCATTGGGAGATTGGAAAGTTCCATCTGCGCGATAGTTACCTTGAACTCCAAGTGAAGGACGATGGTGGCCGCGTCTGGTCCGCAGTCCTTGAGTTGGAAAGGGCGTGTGACTGCCATTTGTTTTTCGGACAGTAGCATTTTGATGGGGATGGTACACGTGCCAAGATTGCTCTCAGACCGACCGTCACGAACCTCAACAGAAGTGGTGGAAGGGGTTTTTAGAATGATACAAACGACAGAGGAGTGTACAGGATAGGAAAAATCAGGGAGAAGATGAGGCTAGTTTTAAATCTGCTACCGTGAAGCCGAGAAGGATGAATTCAGTGTGCAACATTAAATGACGAAACGGTCCTAGAGGATTGTTGAAAAGTGGTGGTTTTAGAAAAAAGTAAGGTGGGTGAACGCCAGTGATTCCAACAGGTTAATGCACTTTTTGAACGAAATTAGAGATTTATTACTAGCTGGACGAAATATCACATAACAATCCGTCGTTGAGAAAAATCAGCTCAACATCCGTTACATGGACTACCTATCTAAGAATACCCGCATTAAAGCACTTATTAGCACCTTAGAGGGAGTGATGCACTGCGGGGTTAAGCTAATAAAAGCGAAGTAAGAAGAAGGTCCAAGATCAGCCTCAATGAGGATCAGTCAGACAACTATCACACAGTATACAAACACTGGACGGCCCGATGGTGATATTGCAACGATACCCATTGCGAGTAAATCCTGTTAGATTGGAACCCGCAACTGTGCAGTTATGAGGCAGCAACTTGAAACACTAGACCTCACTGAGCCGTCAATCGTCTTATAGAAGTATGGGCTAGCTCTAGTGGATATCAACTGTTAGAAACTAGAAGGCGGATTGTGATATGTTTTGGACAGATTGACCGCCGCCAAACTCATTCACCCGGAAAACCTTGAAGAACCCACTCGCTCTACTCGAATACGAAACGTGAGCAATTTGCTAGGTGAGTTTCACGAACCATACGACACTGATCTACAGCACATTAATGAATGTAAAACGTTGGACAACCACTAAGGTGACGCGTATGCCGAATTAAGCTTGGGTGCCACAGAATTAGTTTCACGGACACGAGTTGTAGCAAGTGGAATATAACCAATCGATAGACAGTGATACTTAAAATTGCATTTGCTGTGAAGCGTTAAGAATCCTCTTGGGCAGATGACAATGTGAGTTGTGGTAGAGTATGACACACTTCTAATCCTAGTGTTTTCACACAGGAATGATGACGACCATACATGATCGATTTGGTCCCAAGGAGCTATCTCAGTTCGACCCGCGTCCAGTGTTAAAGCGCAGGTATCAGCGTCACTCGCAATTCCCCGTCAGAACAGGATGCAGAAAGTCATCAGCAGTACGCCAGCACATCGTACCGACGCTCCGCTACCGCACGCCTACCACCAGTCGCGCATGGACTGGATACACTGCGAAGCTGTCCGCATCTACAGAGATTTGAACCGGTAACCTCCGGATTACGAGGCAACCGTGTAGTTCTTTCGGTCACCCACCGGCCAGCATAGGGTGTACAAAGAGTTCATTCAACACAATGCCTCACGACCACAGATCACAGGGTGCAGTGAGCGCAGAAGTCACCTACAAAAGCGCATTACAACAGTGTGCGGCCAATAGAGTTGATAGGCCTCTTGCATGACTGCAGCAATCAGATTATAAACCTAGGGAGTACTTGACGCGAAGGGGGCCAAAAACCTTAATTGAGGCGATATTATACAAGAAGGAGCTGTTGAGACGACCCTTAACTGTGACGCAAACCTAACCAGTTGACTGTGTGGTCCAGAAGTGTCGCGCCACCAACAACACCGGGCATACGTAGCGGGTGCCCAAGCCAACGGAGCTTATTCAGTGCTACCTTTTGTTCTAAAGAACCAGCTTGGTTATCATTGCCTAGCACTCGCCTACGCTCCCCATCGTTGCAGACACGACGGTGCCACCCGACACCAGCAATGCTCCGCAGACAGCGACGTTCAAAGACTTGAAGGCGCCTCAGATTTTCAGACAGAAGGGGCGAAATCTCATACCCATAGAGTAGGAGGGCGCTCACTGTGGCCTTGTAAATGGCCTTTCCAACGGAGGGAAACCCCTTTCTGTCGCCAAAGATGTCGCAGATTCAAAAAGCAAGTCTGGCTTTTGCACCACGTGAACTGACCTCAGTAGCTATACACTCGTCGTTGCTGATACAGCTGCCAAAGTAAGTGGATTGATCAACTACCTCGAGTTCCTTGCTATCTACGATCAAGGGATCACCAAAGTGGCAGGTGGTCCTGCAGCAACATTTTGCACTTTGAAGGTGGGAAGGGCATACCAAATAATGGAACCACTCTACACAGGCTATTCAGGGTTGATTGCGCCGCCCTAACATCGCTAAACAGCAAAACGATATTGTCTACATAATCAAGATCAAATAGCCTTTCACTAGGCAGGATCTCGATGCATGAATCGTGAGATTCCACAAGAGAACACTCCATGATGCAGTCCACAATGAAATTGAACAAAATGCGAAGACTGGACAACCATGACGAACGCCACTTGTTGTCGGAAAATCATCCGATAAATCACCGTAGACTCTGACGCGGCCTGTAGTGTTCGAGTACAGAGCACGTAAAATGCTCACATATTTCATGTGAAGACATTTCCGCGCAAGTATTTCGAACAGAATGCATCGATCTACTGAATGGAACTTACTCTTGAAATCGAGGAACAGCTTTTGCCAGTCTCCGGTATGCGTGGTGTTGCTCTAGCACCTGCCGCAGAGTGAATCTATGGTCTATACAGCCACATCCTAAGCGCAAACCTGCCTGCTCTTCCTTAATCCGGAATTCCCGTCCCGCAGTAAAGCGACGAATCAGGATTGAGGCTTACTAGCCTCACTTGGGCATTAGGCCAAGACCCTGTGGTTAACACAGTCGGTGCGTAAGCTCTTCTTGTATATTGCCACTATGATCGAATCACTCCAGTTAGCCGGGACGATTTCTTCCTACCACACATGTTTGAACAGTGAGGTCAGCGTTTTTCAGATGACCTCACCTCAATCCGTAAATAGTGTAGGTGGCAGGGAATCCGGGCCAGAGGCACGAAAATGATTGAGGATGGTGATCGCGTTTCGGACCTCAACCTCCGACGGAGGCTCTAAACTAATCGTCCATGGGTCATCCTGCATCAACTAAGTAGGAAGAGGTCCGGAAGCAGGGGGCCAACTGAACTGATCTTGAAATTGTTCCGTCCAACGAGCCATACGGCGCTCCTTATTGTGAATCAGAGTACCCGCGCTGTCTCTGATTGTCTCACTGACGCCTGGTTTCCTGGGACCAGTGGCGCGGATCAGCTGGAACAGTTTGCGATAGTACCCTATTGCTCCCGCCTCCTCCATTTTCTTAAACACGCTCCGCTTCAGTTCGCGCCTAGTCGTCCGTTTGGCCACTTTGTGCTCAGAGGCAGCCGGGAGTTTACTTCTGGATTCCAAAAGGTGCACCGACCTCTTGGATATTCATTGACTGCTGCGATGACGACTGACAGTACCAACAACAGATGCTCCTGCGTCGTGCATGGGGACCGAGATCCTATTCCACTGAAGCTCAGTGTCATTAGGACAAGGGAGCGGAAGTTCGGTACGCAGTACAGCTTGGTAGGCTTGTCTGACCGAGGGCTGAGATAACTTCTCAGATGGCAGTCGGGGGAGACGCTTGGTGCGCCACCCGGTAAAGTTCATGGAAAAGTGACAGCGTACTAAGGCATGATCAGAGTCGACGCAAGTACTCCAGAACGAGCGACAAACCAGGATGGAACCACGCCACCTGTCCATCCTTGGCCAGCTACAGGAGTACGCCAAGGGACACCTCGGCGCCCAATATGTCTGAAAGCAGTGCTACTAAGAAACAGTTGGTGCTCCGCAAGCAGTTGTAAGAGACGATCGCCACTGTCCGTACGGTCGGAGTTAAGCCAGTATTTGTCACCTAGCTGAGCTTCTGAAGAGCCAATGCGACCTACTTGTGCATTCATATCCCCTGCAAGTATTCTGATATCTGACCTGGTAGCACTGCGTAGTAGCGTGTTCAGTTCGTGGTAGAATGTGCCCTTGACAGCATTAGAACTGCAGTCCGTGGGAGCATAAACGGAAACCACGAAGAAACAGCGTTTTGTACTACTTCCTGAATCAATCTTGGTCGATGTCGTCAAACGGGCAGCACACAACCGGCTGTTCACCAACATCCACTCAACCTGCGATGACTCAGCTTTGGAGCTGAGTGCGATACCAACCCCAGCTTGACCAAAGGCTGCCGCATCAGTGTCCCCGGATGTGTGCAACCAATAACGAGAGGAAAAGCCGGGTGCAGTTAATTCAACATTTAGGCATTGATCCTAGTTTCTGATACGCAACACAATTCAATACCCAGCGTGTCTAACATGCGTGCGAGTGCAGTCTGTTAATCTATTTGTCTCAAAGTGCGAACGCTGAACGCCGTCAGGGAAACCGGACAGCGTGGCCTTACAAGGGACTGTAGCCGATAGGCGTCCAGTAGATAATGCGGGAAGATTCCATTATGTTCGACTCCAGTGGCATTACGGCTGCTGTCAATTAAGCTGGGAACTATAGAAGAAGGGTTAGCACTGTGGTTGGGAGGGGACTAAGAGACACAGGTGAGAAAGAAAGGAGGGAGGCGCCAGCAGTAGCATGTTTTCGCTTATCCGCCCTGCTGTACGCGGCAAAAAAGGCGACCCTTGATGCGCTGCGCGACGGCCGATGCAGGGTGTAACGTTTGAGGAAATAGTCATGGTTGTATGTGGGCTGGATACTGCAGGACGCCCAGACCTAGACAGGAGGACGATTAGGGTCCTCAACCAAAGCCTTTAGCTCAAAAGCCTGTCCGCAAGGTAGCGGGGAAATAGAAATTATTCAGTTTCACAGAAACGGACGCCATCCCATTGCAAACCTCAAACCTGGATGACCAAGAGACTGAGTTTATCTGACCTGTAAACATTGACCAACCTGGTAGGAGTAGCTCTTAAGGGGTCCGGGGGCACCACCCAGTATAGCTCAATGGGTCCAAGAGGTACGCAAACCGTCGCACTACACTAAAGTGCAGTTTTGTTGCGACGGGAAGTGTCGCATGGAGTCGATGTGCCAGAGATATGGAACGACGTTTGGGTTTGTAAGCAACAAACAGAGCAAATGTATATCATAATGGAGTTGCACTCTGCCAAGATTACTCCATTATTCAACGACACTGAATGTAAATTGTTACTGGTGCACATTCAGTTCAAACGGATAGACCAAAGGGGATGACTGTGGCCATCAGTGGATATGCACAAAACGTGGGGTTGATTGAGTGAAATGATTGGAAGGTCTGCAAACACGAAATAGATCAACAGCAGTTCGGCTACGTTTCTAAGCCAAACACAAATGAAACACGTACGATCAGCTGCAGTATGTCGACGTAAGGGTCTCTGACGAAGAAGTGGTGAACAGAATCCCATGTGGGTATTTGAGTGTGTTCTTTAACATCCGTCGTTTGCGCATTGCGTCCCAATAGCAGATTGCAGTACGGTGATGGCTCTTGCATATGCTTGACGCGCTAGAACGATTACACATGAAGTGAAGGGGGACAATACCAGTAAGCCTTCAAAAGAATGAACTCGAAGCAATTACAGGATACTGTGGCTGAATTTCAAGGTGAAATTTGAGGATTAGCATGGAGGTGGCGAATTGAGTAAGCCACCGCGCGATACGCAGACCAGTGTTTATGAGACATTTACGAAGAACTAAACTAAGTAAGAGGCCGAAGCAAATATGAAGTATGCACGAGCTTCGTATGTTGATCAGTTAACACGACCGTAAATGAAATATCAAAGGACATGTACGGTACACAACTGTGGGACTGAAGAGATAATATCACTGGGAAAAATAGTAGCAACGGTGTGAGATGTAACCCACTGTGTCTGTAGACGGAAGAGTTGCACGTTTCTTGACCAACATAACTTAGACTGGGTTATCCAAGATTTGTTGACTGAGCTGATGACAGTATTACTGAAACTAATCATCGAAATTCTATGTTGCGGTAATCATCTGAGTGAGCGTTACCACCCAGTTGTGTTCAAAGCAAGCTGCACAGTGTATATTTTAAACAATCTAGGTAATCTCTCGGTCTCAAGTACGTAAATTGTTCGTTTCATCACATGCAGAGAATAAATAAGGAATTCATTCTCGATAATGCAAGGTACGCATGATCATGGTAAAACGACCACGAATGATCCGAAAATACACAAAGATGTCACAGGTTTGCCGTCGCTTTTGTTAATGTGTTAGATCGAGTCGCCAGGGTGAGAAGAGGCCAAGGGGAAGCATCGCGTTGGATGACTGACGTAGGCAATGTGGATATGGTCATCCAGATAAGCAATGGGCAGTGACTTTATTTAGTGGCAAATCACATCCGACACGTCTCAGTGTTGTTAAATAGGGAGAACGCTTGCTAAGGGAGAACACACCACATCCTGGAACACTGTCACCGATCTATTTGCTGGAACCGAATAAATCCGAACAATCCAGCTGGCATCACGAGAAAGTTGTTCGGTAAGGCAGCGAAGTTTAACTATTTCCGAACGAGTATTGTGAAGAAAAACTGGCCATAGGGTGGGTATGACCATCGTACGAGATCTTTGTCATCAACCTTCTTCACGAGGAGTCGATTGGGTTCATGGCTGCAATGTTCGACGCGCGCACGCCGAATAAGCACGCCAAAAGCGGATCAATAAGCCGGAAAGCTTAAGGTGCACCTTAAGTTTTGATGGAGATCGATGTTTGCATTGACCGAATGAAGGATACTCCTTAGCAAGTGCTTGCAATATGTTCAGAAAAAAAACAGGAATATTAGCGGTTTGATATAGTATACAACGAGGAAAGTAAGTGGCGATGAAAGACGATCAAACATATAGATGTGTAATCATGATGGAAGTCCTTCAAGACAATTGAAATCTTAGGAGCAACAATAACAGATGGTGCGACGTGAGGGAAGCCAGTATACGCTAGATTAACTGCACGCTCCTGTAAATATGAAAATGATAGGGTTGTTCCCGTGAGGTTGAATACTAGTGCCGACAGCCGCGACTACAGAAGAAATCAGGATATGGGATCGGAAACACAAATAACTATTGGCACAGGTCTACACCTATTTAATACGAATAGCTGAATATGCAAAGAAACAAGTGTCAAGGTATATTGGTCCCAAGACGTACCCTCAAATTTCTAGCCTGCTCCACTACGACATAGAGAAATCCAGCGCTGATAATCCCACCACCAGAGGTCTGGTGTTCTGATGCTCTTTTCAATGCCTAAAGCACAGAATGTGTGTTGTTAGGTAGTAATCATTAGTGAGCAACTATTTAGCGGAAGCATGAAAATTGGAATAATGCATTAGTACTTTAAAAAATCAAGTACCACCCGATGCGCTTGATATGTGTGCTACAGCAATAAAGCACCGTAAGTACTTTATGAAGTAAATATTCATTTACTACGTATGCTTACCCATAGAAATGGTCTACAGGAAGGTAGTATCTACACAGGACACAGTGCACCACAACAACAGGAATGTAGCCGTCGGGAAACGATGACAACCTCACGAAGCAATGTATGGGCTAGGCACCAAAGTTTTTTGGGCAAAATGGGTGAAAGCGAACATAAGTAAGCACACGTAGGTGTAAGATGCAACGTACACGGGATTGTGCTATTGGAAAAAAAGAAAAGTATCGAAGAAGTAGTTATGAAGTCTGAAGGAAGCACAGTGCAATGATCAGGTTAAGTATACTCGAAGAAGTGTGTGCACTAAAAGCTGCTATCGTATGCGGCATAACTCCAGGACAGATCCTCGAGATAAGGTGGCTTGTTAAGCCTCCGCTGTAGAAGTCGAAAAGCGAGCCAATTTTTGCCGACAATCGGTTGGAAAGTTATGCGCAGTATGTTATGGAAATTGAATAGCTATACCACTGTAGTGGTAAAATCGCAAACTCAGCAGGGTAAAACAGCGGAAATCGGAGGCGGCATCGGCTACATACAAAACGGAAATTGCGCTGAAAGCGACACACTGCTGTCATGCGTAAGCACGATCTCATGTAGCACTAAGAAGACACGCTAATGAGTTGTAAAGCATAAAACATGCTTTCGGATCACGATAATAGCAGCACAGGTGAAAACTAAGCCTGCCGTTAGGACGGAGTGCTGCCTAGACACTAAGATGGACCGTAGGATTTAAGCTAATTAATTCACAGCCTAACCACTGGTTAAACATGCGCGTCACAAGTGACATGGGTTCTGTGATTCAGGACCAGCAAACGTTCACGTTTAAAGATGCACTTGAGTGCACTAGTGTATTGATCAGTTTCACCTTAGAACCGCAAAACACTTCAGTGAAACACGCACAATGCACAAGGACAACGTGACGCGCCCGGATAACTCGGAGATCACGTTAGACCGACCGAACGTTGCAACCCAAATGCTGATAAGCTAGATTGTGTTACGCGTTCAACTGTGCGCTTAATGAAGGTACAATTCATGGGGGAAAAATCAATGCACAGATTAAAGTGACAAACTTCACAGTTAACCACTGGTGATCTCATCCTATCCATTTGGGATAACTTAGTACATTGACGCACCATGGTGCCGCATGTCCGACGACATCTCAGGTGCGTGTGATGAACGCAATTGGAGTAATGAAACCGGAGAGGACAATCAATGAGCCCGAAGTGCGTTTGAGCAGGAAAAGTTAGAATAAGGTGTTGATCAAAATCATAAAATTCACCGCGATACCGAATCGGAATTCACTATTAATGCAACGGCGTCCAGGTAAAACTGCGCCGAGTAGAAATCGTTTCATTACGCTCTGCTCATGAAGGATGGTTACGGGAGTACGCTGACTCCATCAATAATGCGGAAAAAAGTCGATAGCAACTGAAATCCGAGCAAATGAGCTACTTCATCGATAGAGCTAACGAGTGCACACAGCAGAGGTATCCGCAAAGCAGCTAAAACCAAATTTTAATAGCAGGATATATATATATATATATATATATATATATATGTGTATTTGGTTGGCGGCATCCGGTTCCAGATTTGCCTGTCACTGTCGCCAACCACAGGACGCCTGCGTCTACAGAGGGACCATGGGTGGCTTGCGCTGCACCACCCACAGCTCCAACCACACACCCCATATCCAGTGTAAACCCGAAGGAATAAGACCGGGAGGCATGTGGATGGGAGCCACGTTTCATCAACGGAGTCGGCCCACTCTCCTTCACAGGCAAACACAAGGACATATATATATTGCAACAGTCTACGAATAGATATAAAGCCATCAGGAACCATGGGACTCAAAAGAAGGTACAGAAATAATAAAAGAAAACACAACACATCAAAGTCCATGGTTTCGTCAGAGGGCAAGATACTACCCCGTTACCCAAGCCGAAGTAGGGTGTTGATTTAGGGACACCACCCCGAGCATTTGGCTGATTAGCCTGCCCGCAAGGCAGCAGAGCGAATTCAGGGAATCGCGCCCATTGCGAGCCGGTGACTGATTGCTCAGTTCATACGCCTTTCGTTTGTTCCTTTGTCAAACAGAGGCCTATGCTCCCCAGAATTACAGCATAATGTTGCTGGAATTCAATGCTTCGCGAGGATGAAGCAAGGGGCAGTGACTTTGTTTAGTGGCGAGTCACGCCCGCCACGTCACAGTGTTGTTAAACGGACATCTGTGGCTTTTTATAGGGAGAACGCTTGCCAGGCGAAAACCCACCACGTCCTGGAACACTGCCGCCGAGCCATTTTCTGGAACGGAAAATCCCGAACCACCCAGCTGGCACCACGAGGAGGTTGTTCGGCAAACTAGAGGAAAAGTAAGTTAAGACACTGAATACTGCAAAATGACGAGTTTGTACAGCTTCAGAGAGAGGGTGAGAGAGAGAGAGAGAGTAGAAAAGGCACACGGTGTTTCAAACCCCACAGGAATATTGTGGGTCAGCACGTGAATAATGACTAAAAAATACGAATAATAGGCAAGAAATCTGTCACGGATGTTGCTCAATTAGAACGGAAGAATAGTTACTGCACAGGAGATGATAAGTGGTCTGAACAGACCATTCCCTTAGGAGGGGAAATCAGCAGTGCGACCAGTATAGAATAACAGTGAATGTCGAAGAGGCAGGAGGCAAGCGATCCCGGCTACAATGGTGACGTATCACTATGGCCAGGAGAAACGATAGAAAGTTTAGCTGACGTGGATACCGACGCTGGCGTGAACAAACCACTGTCCTCTGAAGATGCCAAGCAGCGCTCATTTATCTTAGATTGAGCAGCTACGCTGTTCCGATACTATTGAAAATAACCAATACCACGGGGAAGAGTGCGTGAACTAACGATGAGGACAATTTGAGTGAGGCACAAAGAGTAATGAATAAAAGTATTGAGACTGCACTGATTTACCGAGGAGACATCTTCAGGGCGATTGGATAGTGACAGCCAAGTCATCTTCAAATGAACCGAACCAGTCTTGACACCTTCAAGGTTCAACCACTGAAAGTAGAAGCGAATAAACGCGAAGCCAGCTAGAATCGAAAGTGGTCTAGAGCAGAGGAAAAAAGCATCTGTTTATATTTCACTACGATGGACTTTAGGTGTAGGTATAACCTTCTCCGCTGAGAAAACATAACCGCACAGTGGTTGGCGACGGGTACAATGTTAAAGGAAACGCATTGAGACAGTGAACATTTAAAAAATGAAGGGGCCAAGACAAACTACGTTAATCTTTGTTAAAGTTTTTCGTAATCTACGGTGAGTTGGTGCATCATACAGTGAAGTTAATCGAAAGGTGCTCAAAAGGTTACTCGTTTGTGATGTCAGACATGTCAGCCAGTGGGGTACGAGCCGAATATCACATAAACATACTGACAAACAACACTGATAATGAAAAAAACCAGGAGTTCGAGAAGGCCATTATAGCATAGCAGCGAATGTATACATCCTCAAAGCGTGGCCATTTTCAAAGCACCCAACATATGATAGCCACAGTCGCACGAACCCAAGATGCGAACGGAGTCTTTTATTATTGCAGACATTACCATACATCTCAGTTCTGACCACCCACTTCGAAGTTCCTCTCGTAGGTTGCGTAGCGCGCGCTGCTTCTGTATCTATTCTTAGCGCACATATATCTGCGGTTTCCAAGCATTCATTTTCTGTTGCGGCGTTGCTATGGCCAGCTGTTGGCCGGTGGGCATCTGGCCGACTTGTTATCTCTATACTACTGACGCTTGGCGCAGCAATACTTGCTTTGTCCACCACGCAGTGGTCAGTTACACACAGAGTGACTTCGCTACACAAGGTGCATGAATAATAGACTTCCATCCTGCGGAGAAATCAATGATGGGGCAGATGAAGCCAAAAGCTGTATATGTTAGTAAACTATTTCGAAAACCAAACCAGTTACGGTTACACCCAGTCAGACAGAACCTGCACAAGAAGCAGTTGAACTGAAGATTCTTACTTTCGGGACCAAGTTGTGCATAATCTCTGAACTTAGTCAAAACCCTCGGTGTGCGATTTTCATGAGGACAGAAAGCAATCGTGCAATCTTATATAACTAATGAACAGTGAACAACGATGTATGCCCGGTAAAAAAGCAGTTGCTTGACAAGTCCCGCAGGACGGTGGGGGTAAAACTACAATTATCAAAAGATAAGTGAGTTGTTTGTAAGTAGTAAATGGCTTTATTAAGTTTGGCTGTATGTTCGCCGCAGTTAGACACAGGCAGCCAGTACACATCCAGGAAAGCGCTAGACGGCCGTTTCGTCCTATTGGGACTCGTCAATAGGTGAGTTAGTAATAAAGCGGAATACCTGTAGCTTGGGTTGTCTGTTCAGGTTTAGGTTTGTTCTCCGAGCAGAATCATTTTGTTGCAGACGTTTCATCACCAATCGAGATGACTTCGTCAGTGCGTACTAAGCAAAAATTGACCGATGAGCGAGTGATGTTTGAACTTGGCCATTTCGATTCACGTCCCGTGACCATTGCTAGTTTGCAGTTCGATCGCCGCCTCTTTTAGACTCATGTGCTGAATGACCCGCCTTAAGTTCTTTATTTTTGCAGTTGATGGTAGATCGGGTATAAGTCAATGCGCAGGTTTATCGAGAACCATGCTTCGAGAAATTCTCTTCCTCTTCCTGTCTCTCCCTGCGCCAGCACCTCCGTCTGCTCCCAATCAAACAGACGGTAGTCACTTTGACTGAGCACTCTAAGGTCGTGTTCTTGGGAAGTTGTTTGCAATACATGTGACCCAAGCCTATACACGCAGTCATGCATATGGCGCAATTGAACAGCGTGACATTTTTCCACATTGAACGGTAGTGTATTCATAACTGACCAGTTTGAAATTGTGTTCACGTTAGAGCTTCTCGTGGTCGTTCGGTTCTTTGACCGCTCCCCACGACTTTATATCATCCGAGAATAATAGGAAATCGGAAGTAATTTCCAGCGCCAGATCGTTTATGAAAACCAAGAATAGACGGGACCTGAGCCTTGTGGTACGCCGCACTTCACCGCAATTGCGTCGCACAGGGATTCTCGTACTCTCACTTCCAACCGACGTCTGTGCAGGAAACTGCCTATCCAACGCAGTAGTGGGCCAACGCCATAGAGCTGAATTTTATGGAGGAGAGTTCGGTGGTCTAAGCGATCAAAGGCTTGTGGGAAGTCCAGGTAAATTACATCGACTCCTGCTCCACCAACAGCTGCTTCAGTCCAGCTGTTGCATGCAATTAGCAGGTTCGTAGTGCATGGGCGCTTTTGTCGGAAGCCCTGTTGTTCTGGTGCTATCAACTTGTGATTTTCCAGATACTGCATGAGTGCATCAGCGAGGATGGTATGGCGGCATTCGTATCCGGATTTGCCTGTCACTGTGGCCTCCATGGGGACAGCCACAGGACGCCTGCGCCTACAAAGGGGACAATGGGTGGGTTGCGCTGTACCACCCCCATCAGCGAGGATAGACTCCTTGAAAAACACAGGGAGTAGCGTTATAAGACGGTAATTGGTTGGGTCAGTGCGACTACGTCCCTTACGAATAGAAGTGATGATCCCTCGCTTCCATATTGTTGGGGTACAGTTCTTCCCTATACAGCGCTGATAGAATATAGCCAGAGGTTCCGCCAGATCACTGGCTGCTGCCTGTATAGCCCTCAATCGAATTTTATCGACACCAGGAGAGCTGTGGATAGGCAGGGACAACAGTTTCTTTGACACACTGCAGTAAAAGTAATATTGGATAAGGCTGATGATGGGACAATAGAAACAGGGATAATTGTTGGGCCCGTTACTCTCTGGAACGTTTGTGAGTAATGGAACCATAAGAGATCGGCTGCTTCCGTTGCTGATCGCGTGCAACCGTCAGTCGTGATCAGTGCTGCAATTCCGCGTTGCACCTTACAAAGGCCATTAACGTGCCTGTATAAGAGTTTGCGGTTCGTGCAGAATCTCTTCATTAACTTCCGCTGATGTATCAGCTTGTCCTCGCGGATCAAACTCACACAGAAGTTACGCCGTGCCACATAGGCAGTCCAGGTTTCGGAATTTGGGAACTCCTTGTGTGCTCTCCATGCTAGGTCCTTCAAGGACATGCATTTGCGTGTTCTCCTCCTCAGAAATGACTTCCTTCTCCTTTGACGATGGGAGGATTTCTGTTCGGACGCGTGCGTTACCAGTATGGTAAATGTTCTTGTGAGAGCGTCCCAGGCGATTCCTGGGGTGCCTTCGGTTAAGTAGGTCCAAGACACCTACTTAACAAGCGCGGATAACACGTTGTAGTGCGTGCCCGTATACACTTTATAATTCTCTTTTTCAGGATATTCCATATAACATACATAGTTAAACAGTAGAGTCCCATGGGTGATTTGGGATCTGGGTTAGCTTCGTCCTTCGCTCGCTGAAAACGCGCGTGGTAAGGGAAGGGCATTTGTGATATGACAAGGATAGGTAGTTCAACGAACACTACGGGAAGCAGATTAGTCAGAGAATTGCCAGCTTCTCCATCCAACAATGAGCGCTCTACTCCCTTGGCCGCCCCCTGGATTTGCCCACACGCTCAGAAATTGAAGATGAGATCAGACGGCTGAAATCGAATACGGCCGCTAGATCAGATGAACTTCATCCAGCCCTCTTAAAATTCGGTGGACATTTTGAACGATTTATTAATGAAAATATTGGGGGTAGGATATGGTCCCAACAGACTGAAGCTGCTGCCTTATAGTACCAATTTTCAAGGGAGGCTCCCGTTAAGAATACGACAGCCAACCTGATCTCAATTGCCTCTAAGTAACTTGCTTTTGTCGTCCCCCATAGACTGACTGGAATCCATGAAAGCCAGATACGCTAGGATCAGGCCGGGTCTCGTCGAAATCGTGGCTGCATTGACCACATCTTCGCATTGCGTCAATTGTTGGAGCACCGCCATGTTTACTGACGACCCACCGCAGTCGCGTTCCTAGCCATCAAAAGGGTCTTTGATTCTGTTGATCGATGTGCTCTTGTCTATTGAGGACTGGTATGTCCGAGAAATAAGTAAATGTCATAACAACGTTTTACGTGCATAGTTCGGGCAGAGTGAAAACATTTCAAGGTTGCTCGCTGTCACCATTCCTCTTTAACGTCGCCATTGACGAAGTCAGGGAAATAGCGTCCGCCGGGCACGACTTAGTTGTGGAGCTACTTCCTGGTGAGCGAATTCTTGACTTTGAGTATGCTGATGATATTGCCCTAATCTGTGACGGCTCACGAACGTGCCAAGTTGCAATGGATAAATTAGCGCTGGCTGTCAGTCGTTTCGGGCTATGCCTTGCACCTTCGAAATGTAAAGTCCTTCTTCAAGATTGCCAGAGACAAACCCCTGCGCTGAACCTTGCTGGTGACCAGCTAGAAGTCATTCCGAAATCGAAATATCTAGGCGGCTACAGTAGCACCATTGGGATCGAAGACAATATCACGAACTGCATAGCAAAAGCATGAGGCGCTTTTGCCAATCTCTGCCACCTGTGGCGCCGGCGTGACATTTCTTTCGCTCTGAAGGGCAGAGTATATTATGCAGCCGTCCGTTTAACCCTCCTGTACGGTTGTGGAACCTGGTCCATCAAATCGACAGACTTAAAGAGGCTTGTTAACTTTGACCATCGCTGCCTTCGCAGCTTAGCTCATGTCTAGTGGGAACACCGCGTGAGTACTGAGCATGATCGGCGCCGCGTATTTGGTGCAGGAAGAGCTAGTTAACAGCTTAGCACAACTATATCACGTACCAGACTCCGATGGCTATGTCACGTGTTGCGCATGCCGGCACACCGACTCTCGCCTCGTGCAGTGTTTGCGCGCCGGGGGTGCGGTTGGAAGAGGAGGAGGGGAGGCCGAGCGATGATTTGACCAAAAGGAATGAAGTCCCTCACTTCGAACTTGGCGTCGGTCGGTGTTTCCCGACTGCTGGACTGGATTCCTAAGTACGATTAATACGTTTGGTAGCTGACATGGCGGAAAGCCGACCACAGTGGTGTTTGTGTTGTGAATCTCTTTGTCCCTCCCCTCCCCTTTAGCTTCCCTCTCCAACAACGATAACAAACGCACTGTATTATGTGATATTTACCATTACGTTAGTTGTTATAGCTTTTTAGTCCGTGTTCTTTAATCTTATATCATTTTTGTATCGCGGCACCTTAGCTGAGGTGTGCCTCTCACCCTTGATTAACGTGTATTGATGACGATGATGAGACAATTCTACTCGAGGACTGCCTTTATTCCCGCTGACTCGACGGTACAGAGTACAACCCCGCAAATGGAAGGCCGTGTACTCGGTTCCCGGAAACGACTTTCGGTTTAGATACTCACCTTACTTTTATCATCGTTACCTTACGCTGTCACGGATACCTGGTGCGACATAAGTGAGATACAGCATTATAGCTCCAGGATCACAGCTGATAAACCGAAATGGAGTGTACACAAACGCAGACTTAGATTCTCTCGCCAGAAATACCCATTTGTTGGGTGAAGTCAGCATCTAATCATTGTACTTGACTTTTGTTATAGGAATTCCATTCGAGTTTCAAACCGTGCCTATTCAAACAGCCGACAAACACTAGTTTGGACGAGCTCTACGGATAGTTTCGTCCAAAAATACCGTATCTCATCTCAATCAGTATTTAAGCAATAGTTGAGCGAACAATAAATTGTCATCGAAATAAAGCTTTGATGAGAGCGACAGCAGTCGTACACATTCATATGTTGAGATGCAGTCCATTAGGCGACAACAGCTAGGACATTTGAAAGGTGAGATAGGAACCTACCTATCCACAGCACTGACGCTGCGCTGATATCATCCAACTAATTAAGACGAGTCTGCAAAAGTAGCCATTCTATCTGTTGGCTCTGTAGAGAATCGAGGGTACCGGTAAGCGTCCAGTGCATCTGGCCTCCACAGAGAGGCCACTCCAAAGAACAAGATCATTAAAGATGTGCTAGACGGAAGGTAAGCTTTGACCTCGTGCTTGAAATTTGCCGCGTAAAAGAATTATGCTTACCTCTTTTATCAGTTTCCACAGCGTAGTCAAGTAGCGTCGTCCGACTAACTTTAGCCACCGCTCCAGCTCGCACAGGCGGCAGAGAACATACTAAGCACTTTAACTTATATGTGATGTTTCATTACCAGTGACAATATAGTTCTAGGTGGTTCAGTGTGATGAAGTTGGTAAAAACCACAAATAGTGTCGAATAAGTGTTCTCTTGTGGTTGTTTAATAAGTGAAATAAATGTGGACGTATCAGGTGAATAAAACATTGGTAAATGGAGACTCACCGTATCCACCTCGCCCAACTCGAAAACTGACTCGAGGGGGACGGAGCAGCTGTGGATGAAAGTAGAAAGGGTGGGAAAAAGGGAGGATTTCAACGGGTGTATTTAAATGCCTGATAGAGAGCAACAACAATTTGTGAGGGTGGAGACGAAGGTAAATCGGTGATCCGGTGAGAAAGCATATAGCACAGCAGCCTAATGCGGAAAAATGAAACTAGATTAGTCTGAAGACTCCGAGGTAGGAGAATGACCGGGATAAACTCACGACCCAATGGTATCGTCATTGTTGCTCTGATCCTTATCATAGACTTCGACCTCTAAAAACTGGCCACGTCTCACGTCAATGGCGCTCTGGAATAGAAGATGGCATATAAAGTATTAGAACTAGCAGATAATGTAATGAAATCCACAAGAAGGAGTGAAGAGTGCCTCCTTTTACATGCGATCTAGTCATAAAGAGTCTATGGCGTGTGAGTATAAACCACGATGTGACAAAAGTGAAGAAAAACGTTGGTGGTAAAACGCTATGACAACGGGATAGAGACCCAAAATATGCGAAAACGTGCAGTAAAGCAAAATGTCGTATAACTCATAGAAGTTTTGTGCGCTCTGAGGTGACTAGTGTGGTTCATGAATCGAAGCTGAAATACATTTGGAATAGATGGTGCGAAAGCACAATGAGTGCCCCAAATCTAGTAGGTCAAAGACTGGTGGTACTCACTTCAAAATACTCGTTCCAAATGGGATCCAAGGTTTTGTGAAACACAGCCGTTTTGAATGTTCGAGCACCGACTGCATGGAAGAGGGTGGAAAATGTAGAGGAGCTTGGGATGAACCAGCCAGAGGAGATCCGCGGGAATGAGGCACATATTGATTAGACAGGAAACACCAGTGCATTAAAGTTAAAACTACAGTCAAACCTTTCTAAGGCGGCCACTGAAGGGATCGACAAAAAATGGTCGCCTTGGACTGGTGGTCGTCATGGACAGGTTTATGTATAAGAGAAAACGTTAGGAATGTTTTTGGCTGGCCGCCATAGACAGCTGGTTGACATAGCAGGTCGGACTGCATTAACGTTGCGGTTACCAGGGCACACAACCAGAACAGATGAGGTCGGACTATTTCAACTATTACTGCGGGGTTGGTCCAGCATAAATCTGAGAAGGCACAAGTAAGAATATGAAGCGGTTGGATACAGTTTGGGAAATGTCTGCTGAAGAGACACTACAACGGTATGAATCTATCTGGTATAATTTCGGGAACATTACTAGTGTTGTTCGAAGTAGTGGGAATGAGAAGATATCGAAAACATCATCACCTCAGACACGGTCCTAGGGACCGGAATGACATAGGTTTACTACCAAATAAGACTGCGTGACGCAATCCGCATACAAAGCGAAAACTTGAGAATTCGAGAGCAAAATTGGAAGAAGATTGGATAAGCCTCATTGCCGTTGTCAGGTCAAAATAAGATCTGCTCATAAACCATGTATGTGAGATCGGAAGGGTGAGAAAAAATGTATAAACTGGTGTCTTCGCACGGGTTTACAGTAGCCGATACTGATAACAACAGCTTAACCGAGCCAACTATGGGAAGCAATGCAATCTGGTATGCTACACGGATCACACCAAAGGACGACCAGAAAATTCCTTGTCCCAATTTCAAAATACCCGCTAGCACACAGCCATTGTGAGGAGTAAGCTGATAGTTTATGATAACTGACACCTGCTACAAAGCAGAAAGTTAAAAATGAAGGCTTAATGCACCGAATAAAAACCAAATAGCTTTTCTAAATCCTCGGGAAATATCATTTCAACGAAGATCCTATAAAATAGTTAGTTAAACATCCGGGGATATAGCAAGTGCCACTCCGTTTTCCGTTAATAGTATACAGGACAACAGCTCTCACCGTCAAGTTCAGTCGGACTAAGCTCCGACTACCGATACCTCATGTCAGACTGATTATAATATTATATATTATTATACGCCTTGGCTAGAGGTTGAAAACACATCAGCTACTCTGCCGCAATACATAAGAAAAGGAAAAGCAACCTACAACAGGTACACGTTAGCTGAGCTACCAGTAAGGGATGGACATCGTTCTGGAAAGCTAATAGCCGGCTACTATGCAGCAAAAAATTATTTATTAAGCAATATTTGTATTATGCAAAGAAATGAGATCGTCATTCGAGGGGGGATAAAGAGAGATGGGGAGGGACAAAGAAACCAACAACGCGAACGCCGCTGAGGTCGGCTTCTAGCCATGTCAGCAAGGGTATCCAACCAAATGTGTTCATCGTCTTTCGGACCCTAACGAGGGAGCTGAGATGCTCCAACTGAGGCCAACATCGAAGTAAGGGCTTTCATTGTTCTCGACCAAGTCATCACTTGGCCACCTCTTCTTCCATTCACACTCCCGGCGCACAAACAACCCACGTCGCGGGAGTCGGTGGGCTGGCATGCGCAACACGTGGCCCGGCCATCGGAGCCTGGCGCGTGAAATAGAAGCGCTGAGCTGTTCATTTCCTTTTCAAGTGCCATTAACCAGGAGCCGAATCTGCGCGTTGCTCACGCAGTGTTCTCCCCAGATGTGAGCCAAACTGCGAAGGTATCGGTGGTCGAATGTAACCAGACCCTTTATGTCGGCTGATCTAATGGGCCGAGTTTCATAGCCGTAAAGTAGAGCTTAACGGACGGATGCATTGTACACTCTACTCTTCAAGGAAAATGTGGTCGCGCCGGCGCCATGGGTGGCGAAGGTTAGCAAAAGCGTCTCGTGCTTTTGCCATACGGTTCGTGATCTCATCTTCAATCCCACGGACGCTGATACAACTCCCCAGGTAGTAGAATTTTTGAACGACTTCCAGATGATCCCCACCAAGGGTCAGCGCAGGGGTGGGTCCCAGGCAATTTTGGAGGAGAGCTTTGCACTTCGAGGGTGCAAAGCATAGCTCGAAACGGCTAACAGCCAGTGTCATCTGTTCATTGTCGCTTGGCACGTCTGGGAGCTGTCACAGATTAGGGTAATATCGTCAGCATACTCCAAGTCATAATAATTGATAACAAAGGGGAACCAGTGAGGTAGATAAGAATGCAAACAAAAGTTAAGGGAAAAGTGATGATAGATGGAACAGGAAATGGCCAGAAGGAAGAGCACCGTGTCATGTTTGAGTAGGTCTGCAACCACTGAGGTGATTTATCCCGAGACCCATAGACTACATATCAAGCTAAGTAACTAATTTATCGGTCGATAAAATATAAAATGTCAGTCAGTAAAAGCTTTAAAGCGTATTTGCAGAATCAGTTCGTAACTGCTTCAATGTGAAGTGGCTAAGGAGTCCGATGAAGTGTTGGAGCTTTGATTAAATGGGAACATGGGAAATCACGAAGTATGTAGGTATGTATGTAATCTCAGCAGTTTAGGAACTAGACGCAGAGTCAACAAAAGATCACGGAGGTCAGCGGATAAGGGACACTCGTCGCGTCATAATCATCGTGGCATAGTAGTTGAAGGTGAGCAACACACTTCATCTAATATGCTGCAGTAAGAAAGGAACATTTTGACAAAAAGTAAAACAAAACATTTTAGTTTGTTTTCACACCGTGAATTTTCTCTTTTTTGTCATTTGCAATGTTTGAAGCATTAAACGTGTGAATCAGTACAATACTGTACACAATTCTTCCACTCATTCCGGTTGCGGGTCATGCTTTTAAGAGTGTTAAGCCATTGGCAATCCTCATCTTTGGGTCCCCATCCTGAAAGACGTACGGGTCCAACATCGGCTAGACACAACGTCAGCGACTTCATGTGCTGTCGCCATGTGGAAGGCTGACAACCACGCGGTCGTCTCCAGCCAGATCCTTGACGAGCGAATAGAGCGCGACGCGGTAGACGCTAAGGTGACACGCGTAGGACGCGACCGAGCTATCTCCACTGGCGCAACAAAACCAGTTTGTTGCAGGGCTTACCCGCATTCCCCAAGATGCGACGTCGAACGTCATTACTATTAACTCGATGTTGCCACCAAAAACCAGTAATCCTCCTTAAGCAATCGTTATCGAATGCAGAAAAACGACGATGTCTTCCACGCGAATTGGTCAGTACTCGCTCCCATACAACAACACTGAGCGAACAGATGCGAGAATGAGACGTCCCACCGACGCCACAAGTGCCTCATATTGACAAATGCTGGTCGAGCTTTAGCGATGCGAAGAGAAACTTCTTTGCTGATAGTATCGTAGACGAAACTATCTACCTGTTCAAGTTGTGTACCTTCGAGAGTGAGCACGAAAGCAGGTGAAAGCCAATCTTTGAGCAGTACTTTACACTTCGATGGGGCGAAGCTCATGTCATACTTAGATGCTTCAACCGCCAAGCGATCCAGAATGATTTGCATACCCTGAGGATAGTCACCAAGTAAGGCGGTATCATCGGCATAATCAGTCGAGCGCTCACCCGGTAGAAGCTCTAAAGCAAAATGTTGGAAAGCTTCTAGAGCATTCGACAGAACGTCTTGCATTGCGAAGTTGACGAGGAATAGGGACATAGGGCAGCCCTGTCGCACACCGCTATTGACAGTGGATTGCGAGGAAAACTTGCCATAGACCCTCACTTTGTCGGGTGTATGAAGGTAAAGTGCTCGTAAGATGGCGGTATATTTCTCTGGCACTCCGTTCTTTAGCAAGCAACGCCATAAAACAGGTCGATCAACGGAGTCGAAAGCGGCACGTATGTCTAGGAATGCAACAATAGTAGGCCTGTGATAAATGTGGCGATGTTCGAGGAGCTGGCGGAACGTGGAGATTTGATCCACGCATCGGCGGCCGGGACGGAAACCAGCTTGTTCTTCACGGTAGGATGATTCAAAGTATTGAGGATGTCTAGGAAGCAGAATGGATGCCAATAGCTTGGAGGCAATCGAAATAAGACTAATCCCACGATGATTTACATATGAAGTGCAAGCGCCTTCCTTGAAAATCGGGACACTAACTGATTCGCCCTAAGAAAAAGGCACTTTCTCTTCTCTTTTTGCGAACAGCGAGGTCAGCTGGTTACTGATCGTCAAACCGCCGTACTTGAACAGCTCCGGAGGAAGTCCGTCTAAGCCGGCAGCCTTGAACCGTTTCAAGCGTTGAGTCTCGAGGCAGACTTCCGCTTCGCTGAGTGGATTCAGTGGGATGAGCCAGGGTGGATAACTAAGTGTACTGCATGTAATGATGGACGATGGAGGCCAGTTGAATTGCGAGTGAAAGTGCTCGGCCCAGCGGTCCATACGCTGGTGATCGGAGACTCATCCACCTCGCAAATAACCTCACTGACACCAGGCTTCCTGAGGCAAGTGAACCGAATGAGTTGGAAAATTCTGCGAGTGTTGCCAGAGATGGCAACGGTCTCCCTCTCCAAAACACGCTCAGACCACCATGCCTTGCGATTCTTGCGTAGGCTTTGCTTGAGCAGCCGGTTGGCAGAACGGCGTCACACGTTGCAATCTGATTCCGCCGGGATATCTTTGCGACTTTCGAACAGCTCCAGAGTACAAGCAGAGATCCACACCTTTAAGAGGCGTTGAGCTAGGCCGCAGCTGGACTGTCAGAAAAAGGTCATCGCTTTCCGTATACAAGTCTAGTGTTGTTCCACTTCTTGTGGTGGATTGCAACTGAGTGCATATGCCAGTGAAGACTGATAGCTCGCCTGGACAGAGGAATCAGTTAATCTGTTTACATTAATCTTGCGGTGCTTCGTGTTTCGGGACCCCCAAAAACACATACAGATTTTCGCACAGACCAGTGC